GGTGCCCGTTCGGGTGGGTCAGGCGGGAGCCAGCGGGAGCTGAAGGAGGCGTCAAGTTGCTTCTGTTTAGCGTGATAGGGAGAAGTGGGCGGTGGCGCAATCCAAGGAAATGGTCCTGCCAGAACACTCAGTGCCTGTACGGATGCGCCTGTCAAGGCTGCTGCAGGGGATGTAGCAGCCGGCAGGAGCCGGAGCCTTCGCGGGCACGGACACCGCGCTGTCGGGGTTGTACTCCGTTGTACTCTCCACAGTGGGCACTGTCGGCACCTACCTGCCGCTGTTAGTTCAGCAACAGCAGCTTTTCATGCAGAACTAATCACTAGCTGAGCTTTTCCATCACCACCTTCATTTTAAAGCAGATAGGCAGTTAAGGAGTGTACAAACGCAGGGGCCACATCGTTCCTTGGAGAAAGCAGGTATTGTTCCCCTGAACACAGTGAAGTGACAGCCTTAAACAGTGGGGTGGGATTCGAGGTGTTTACTAGGTGTGAAGCCTGGACTGTGCATCAGATGAGGGTTTTCATCCTTGCCAGTGGATGTGCCTTTTCCTGTGTATTAATTGATTGTTTGTGTTTTTATCTAGATCCAGAGTGGGCTTCTTACAAACTTGGAATATTCATTTGTTTGAATTGCTCTGGAATTCATCGCAATCTTCCTGAAATCAGCAGAGTCAAATCCCTTCGGCTTGACTTCTGGGAGAGCAATTTAATAGAGGTATAGAGGAAAAAGTAATAATTCTCTACACTGCATAACCTGCTCTGCCATGTAATTCCTGTGCCATCCACCATGGACAGTGCAACAGAGCCGTGTTAATGCATGGGCTACTTTAGGGGGATTTTTATGACCTCCTCGATCAATTTACACTGATAGGTCACTGCTAGGTGACCATGTTCCTAACAGTCTGTGGTGTGTATTTTTGTATACACAGTAACTTCTTCCTGTGGCTTAGAAACCCACAGATATTTCCTGGCAGTATGTTCAATTAAGAAAGCAACATACCCTTCTTAAATTTTGGTTCAGCCTCTCAGCATCCAGTTGAATTGTATTAATAGCACAATCACAGTTAATAAGTGGGAGGAGATGAAGGAATGGGGAGATCATATATAAATTTTCTCCTAATTTTCTTTTGTTCTTTTCATCAGCAACCACAGTTTGTATTTCTTCACAAATGGTTCAGAACTGTAAATACTGAAAAAGGTGCATCCACCTAAAACCAGCAAACTATAGTGCCAAAGGGAATTGATAAATGTATCAATGTATCAATACACTCTGAGAGTTATGGCAGGACTCAGAAAAAAGTGCAGCACTCCCTTTGATACAAGTCTCATTCTGTGTTTATGACTTGGTGTTGATTTGCAGTGGCACACCTAACTGTAATTTATTTTGTGTTTCAGTTTATGAGGAATCACGGAAATCTCTGGGCCAAAGCTAAATATGAGGCAAAGCTCCCTCCGTACTATTACATCCCCAAGTCCCACGACTGCATGTAAGTTGATGGTGTATTCACTGCTGCAGCCCTTTGCATTTGCTTCCCTTTCAGGTCTCCCTGGCTGGCTGCTGAAGCTACAGTAGAGACTGATCAGCTTTATCCATGTTTTCCTCTTTCAGGGTTTTAAGACAGCAGTGGATTAGAGCTAAATATGAGCGTGGGGAATTTCTTGACACTGGAGTCTGCCATGATCCCTGTTCTGCAGGTAAAAGGATTGTCAGGGAGGTCTCAGCCTCAAGGCCAACAGCACAATGTTCTGTTGGCAGCTTTGGAGATCTCTAAGGTTGGCTTGTCACATTTGAGCTGCTGGATGTGCAGTCACTGCTTTGAGTCTAGCTTTGAGAAGAAACTCCTAAGAAAAGGCACTTTCACAAGTGCAAGGGTATGTTCAGATCTTACAGTTCTCTATTTCTTCCACTTATTTTTTCATGAGGGGAAAATTCTCAGATGGAGAAGAGACTTGAAACTGTGCCATATCACCCTTAGCTAAACAGTCCTGCCCTTGTGCCCCCCTGTCTGACACTTTTGTGTGTGCTCTGCAGGCAGCCGTGAAGGATGCCTCTGGAAGCTTGGGAAGGGACGCAGACAGTTCCAGAAGAGGCAGTTTCTCCTGTCAGCAAAGGAAGGGCTGATGAAGTACTACACCAAAGAAGTGAGTTCTTCAGCCAGAGCTGGCCATAGGTAGCAGGTCTACACCCACCCTCAGACCTTGCTCTCTGTAGGCAAAACCCAGCACAAGTAGCCTTGTTTCTAGTTTTGTGGCCAGCCTGTACTTAGAGGAGTGGACAAGTTTCTCCCTTAATATATGTGGTATATTGGGCAATTTTGGATTTGGTTCTTTTTCTCTTCCCTTATCTCAGCCTTGCAGCCTCCTCCTTCTTAGTGAACAAAGGAAATGGGTACTGGCAGTTGAATAGGAAGACAAAGAAGAGATCTGCTGGCAGTTGTTACCTCTTACATTACCAAAATATCCTCTCATCTGCTCCTGCAGCTGGGTTCTCTCATGACTCCTTTCTGTGAGAGACTGGAGCTAACTGATCTCTGACTGGGAGACTGGAGATATCCCTGTCCCTTGCAGTGCACACCCAGCCCTCTTCAGTAGTGATCCAGCATTTGTGGAGGAATCTAAGTGGTTTTATGTTGCATGCAGTTAAGGCTTTATGTTTCAGGTATTTCAGGGTGTCTGCTTTCTTCTCAGTAGGGGTTTGGTCTCATACAGTTGATCTGTCCTGCAGTACATTCCCTGAGAGCACTTTAATAAAGTGATGCTTTTCATTTCACAGTCCAAAGTTCCAAAAGCCGTTATCAGCGTTGAGACTCTGAATGCAATGTTCCAGGTGGAGAAAATAGGACACAATCATGGGCTGCAGATCACATACATCACAGATGGTCAAACAAGGAACCTTTTTGTCTATCACGAAAGTGGAAAGGTGAATATAATGGAGATTCTGGAGTAAGCAGATGCTTAGATGTTGGATCTGTATTTTGGAAGAGTTACTGTGTCTGCAAGATCTGGTTTTAGTTGGGATCACTAAGACTTGTAGAATATAGCAAGTTGCAGAATTTGATACTTCTAGCTGTAGCATCTAACTGTAGCATCCTGCTCCTTTTCTGTTGGGGCATATATTCAGCCTCACCCTTTGGATAGTCTGAAGTGGTGCATGGATGTAAATCTCTGTAAGGTAACTGCCTCATGGTTTTATGTGGGTTTTTTTTTACAATTTCATGGTTAAATTCTTGGCACGCATAAAGAATATTGTTCTACATTATTTCCAAGCCAACAATGATAATTTTAAAACATATCCCTATAGATATTGTTAGACTTCTGGTTTTTCCTTCACCAGAATTCTTGTGTCTTTCCAGGTAGAGGTTTTTAAACCACCCATAACTGAATCAACTGAAAAAGCCTGTGTATACAGACTTGGGTGACTGTCCATGCTGAGCATGTCTTGGACCTCCCAGGAAGGGCTTTCTTAAATTATTTTCAAGGGTCAACGTTTTTCAGGTGTCTGGGGCAAATCACTGACCCTCTCTGCCCCTTGGGGAGAAAGTACCTCTTTACAAAGAGGTCACAAGGAAGGAGAAAGGCATTTTGGAGAAGCAGTGCTCTTACTCTTCTTGTTGATGTTTGTGTCTGTGTTTGCTGTTTCCCCAGGAGATTGTTGACTGGTTCAATGCTATTCGGGCAGCACGTTACCATTATCTCAGAACAACCTTCCCAAATCTCCCTGAGCCTGAGGTGAGAACTCAACAGGGCTTGAAGCAGTCTAGCCAAATATAGCATGGGAAGACATTTTCTCACTTCTTCTGACAGAGTCAGGTGCTTAAAAAGCAGCACTTGGGTGCAGGGAATGGACAGAAGAGGTAGAAGGAAAAGCCACACTGATTAACAGGCAAAAACTCAGTTGGCATTTAAGGCCTTAAAGTCTCCATGTGATTCTTACACAGTGTAATCTGTAAAAAAAATGTTACGTTCCTTCTTACTTCAGACTTCCCTTTATCAAGCGGTCAAAAAAATCCCAGACCCCAAAAGCCACAATTGATGGTGATTAACTTTCACAAAAACAGAGCAGAAATGCAATCTTGAATGAGACAGCCTGTCCTGGTTTTGGTTGGGACAGACACAGACTTTTTTTGTGTTTGTGTTCTCCTAGCTCATACCCAGGATCACAAGAAGTTTTGTCAAAGAAGGATATATGGAGAAAACAGGACCAAAAGTAAGTGCACATTTGGCATTGCACAAACAGGATCATTCCAGATAGAGAATATTTGGTAGTTCAATGATCTTGACTTGTAAATTATTTGCTCAGTGACTCTCTGCTTCCTGGGTTGATAAAAGAAACCATATTCAAACCTGCCATGTTCTTTGGGACCACGTTTTATTTTGTGTGGAAAATGAGATTGGGAAGAAGAATCCTTGAAGAATAAGCAAGGTGGATTAGCTGTCAATGCAAAGTGCTATTACACAACACCACAGGGATTGTTATATCTGCTAACTGCAGCTCCTGCTACAGCAGAACATGATGTGCTGACCTCCCCCACTTCTCTGTTTCACTTAAGAGTCCATTGCACTTAAGTCACATCTACTTAGAGCAGCAAAGTGTCATTTGAGCAAATTTCCCTACAGTGAAGCCAATAGTTTGGTTTGTTTTATTGTGGGAAGTGTTTGGGCCAGTACTCCTGGAACAGAAGAGCAGGGTTTTGGGCACTGCTGAAGGAGGAGATAAAGATGTGAGGTCTTGTTTGAACACAGCCACTTCTGGCCTTGCTCTCCTCTGAGTGAACCATGAGCCAGGTCCTGTTATAAAGTTCAGCAGTGCAGTGCTGATACTGAATATGCTGGGTTTTGGCCCAGCTTTGGTGCCAGTGTTCCAACACCTCTTCTGCAGGTATTTGCACACAGGATGAAAGATTTTGTGTTTTTCTCCTGAGGCCTAAACTCTGCTTAAACTGAGTTGAGTCCTAGAAGAGGCCTCTTCAGTTCAGCCTGGAGCAATTAATAGCTCAGGAATGGTCAGGTAAGTGTAGCTGATGGAATTAGCACCTAAAAAAACCCAACTGGTATTGTACACCCAAAATTCCAGGGACAGCCTCCCTGATCAGATTGTTGGAATTGACTGCTCACTCTCTTCACTATCACCACTCAAGGGTTGCTCTCTGCAGTGCTTTCAATCCATTTCATGCAACTTCCTTAATCCTGTTAATTTGATTACTTCCCTGCCCAAAGGATTATCATTGAATGTGAATCTGTATTTTGAGCCCAGGGAAAAGAGAGAGCTGAGGGCTGCACACACACAGCAGTCCTGTTATCAGTTGCAGGGATGAAGGAAACTGAACTCCAGCTCCAAGTCATTTAAGTGGTCCTGGGATTTGAATAGACTGAAGTCTGCTTTGACACTTGGGTCTTTAAAGAATTTCTACCATTTCCTTGCAGCAGAAGGAGGCCTTTAAGGTACGCTGGTTCTGCTTGGATTCTCAGGAAAGGAACCTGCTGTACTTTAAAAATCCACTGGTAAGAGGAGTGTTCTTTGTTCCACAGCCCCTTCATGAAGCAGGTGGGGGGAAGGGTCTGTTCTCATCCACCTTTTCCAGTGGCTCTGCCAGGCTGGAGCAGGCCCAGCCTCGAGAGCCCATCTCCCTTGCCAAAGGATGTCTCTGAAACTGAGCTGGTTGGGAACTCTGGCCTGTACAGTGGCTGTGAGAAAGATCTTTTAAAAGTAACTGCTGCTGCCTGTGGTTCAGGCCCCCTCTCCCCCAGCCCTAGTGCCTCTGTGCCTGTAACCTTAGCCAAGATGAGCAATATTCCAGCTGACAGCCCCAATGTCCTGCTTTAGCCATGGGAATGTCCTTTCCTGTCCCTTCTGAACACCCACCAACCAGCTCTGTGAGGGTGGGACCTGTCTTCTCCTCCTTAGAATGCCTGTGAGTGCAAAATCCTCTTTGTGTGTTCCATGCTGGTGTCACCAGTCTGTGTCATCGTTCCCCTCCATGCATCCTCAGATCCTGTTCCATGTCAAGGACAGGGCAGTGTCTGCTGGAGCTCCACTCTCTGCTGGCTAATGGCTGTTTTCTGCCTCCTTCCCAGGATGCATTTGCACAGGGCCAGGTTTCCATTGGAAGGAAGGATGAGGGATATGAAGTACGAGATGATTTGCCCCAGAAAGTCTGGGTGAAGAAGAAGAAGCCAGTGATCACTCTGGTCACGCCAGTGAGAGAGTTTGTGTTTATCTGTGACAATGACAGGCAGCAGAAGGAGTGGATGGATGCCTTGAATGGAGTCATCACCCAGCTCTGATGTCCACAGGGAGGAGCAGGCAGGCAGCTGCATTCCACCTAGCTGCAGCTTCTGGCCACACAGGAACAGGGTTGTTTTCAGCAGAGTGGGATAAATGTTTCTTACAGCACTACATTTCTGGCACAATAAATAAACAAGCCACGTTTAAGTTGTGGAGGATACTGTAATGGAACCAGTCCTGTAATGGAATCACACAGATTCTTCTAGCTCCTTGCTTTCAGCAGTCTCTACTTCTTGGCTTTTATGTGAGTGGCAAATCCAACATCCAATGATTTTTTTTTCCAAAGCACAAACCCACACGGTGCCTCTGAATGTGTCAAGAGTAAAGGAAGAACACACATTGATCTGGCTCACCCAGGAACAGATGAAGCTTAATGAGCTTGATTAAACTGAACATTGAAAGGCAGAAGCAAGTTTTAAAAGTATTTTCTTTAGTGACTTGCTCGCAAACACTCTGTGAATGAGGACTGATGTTCAGTGTTGGAGGGGAGCCTTCTCATCAGGTACCACTGTGTGCAGGAGCTGATGGAGATTGCCCTGGCTGACACAGAGCACTGAGTGTTCCATGCCTCAAGACAATGTCTGAGATTCTGCCAAGCAGCAAATAATTCACACATTTAATTCTTCTTTACAGATAGCCTGATTTTGCAAATCAAGAGGAAGTCTTGCAGACCAAGTTTCTGGTGAGGCTTCCACCTTCTGCTGACAATTGCCAGCTGGTCTTAAGATACTCTAAATAGTTCTTTTTCTACAGAAATGGGAAGTGCCAATATTTGCAGGAATTAGTGACACTAATTCTTCTTTCTCCCCCAGCCCCACTCGCCCAGTAGTGCAAAGGAATTGAATTGGTTCATCATTCTGCCTTTCTCAGCCAGCTCATTGTCCAGCTCTGAGTAATGTGCAGCAGTTTTATGTATTGGTATGCTCCCATGAACTTCCCTGTGTTCCAGGCTCTGCCCCACACAACCTCATTCGTTCTAGCTCACATGGTGGTTCAGCAATTCTATTAAACAGCCTAATCCTGCAGCTCCTGAAATCAACAGAGAGCAGCTTTTGAGTTGTACGAGGCACAATGCCAGTCTTCATTGTTAATTGTTATTTTGAGATGACCTGAGTAGTTTGGGATGACCTCGGAAGGGTTTGGTCCCTCCAGTAGCCCGGACTTCAGTGAGACAAGGTCTGCACTGTGCTGTGCTGTGCCACTGCTCTCCCGGCTGGGTCACCAGACTGCCCATGTCAGCAACTCTCGCTATTACAAAATCGGGAAATTCACGGCGGAAATGAAATAGTGCAGATAACGGGGACTTTTTTGGACAGTCAATGAAAGCGAAGGCCAGGCTCTAGAGAGTTCTGCGTCACAGTCCATTTCCACCGGCAGCCCAAACCGTGCGACCAAGGCACGTGAGAAGGGCAGAGGAGAATAGAGCAGAGC